AAGATAAAAAAAGGTTTGGGGATTTTTTTTCTTAGATAAAGCTCATCACTTCTTTGCAAAAGGCACAGACCTCACCCCGGCAGTTGACATGTCAGCCATCACCTGAGCACAGCAATCTTGAAAGGAGGATGAAAAGGTTCTGAAAGCGATCTTGGATCACTGGCATACAGTCCCTGGTCCTCCAACCACCACCAACTCTAAGCTGTCAAGGCATCAAAGTGGTCTGCCCAGCCGACACTGACAAGTCCATCACAACTGATCTAGAGGATGAGGGGAACTGAAATAGCATTCAGTATAAATTTTGGCAGAAATTCTTCATCGGGGAGGATGATCTCAGCACAGGCTGAGAATAAGTATCTTCTGGAAGGTGAGAGATTGTTTTAATGAGAAAACAGACTGAAGCCAAACTTACAAACCTCTAAGGTTTGCATGGCATGAATCAACGTGTCCTATGATTTTGAAGAGCCAAGTAATAGCCACTACTGCAGTAGGGATAGAATCCTGCCACCATGGCGTTCAGAATCACATCAATGAAATTTAGACAACTAGGGATATTTCTGAAAATTCAACTCAGGACCTTTGAAAGGAACAAAACCCTTTTTTTTTAGGTAGAGCTGTGTTTTTACCATCCCACCGACCAAGCGCAGCCATGGCATGCAGTCGTTATCTTAGATAAACCATAAAAACAACTCCTGACCAAGTAATGCTCTCAGCCAATCCATGGTATTTCCTGTGCAGTGCCTGTATGAAGATACATAAAGTAGGCATACTGAAAATGAAAATCCACATACAGAAATCCCTCCCAATGGAGACTGATGAACTCTGTTGACAAGGTTTGCTTCTGAAGATAAAATATCCAGCTACCGCAAAGAAAGCCCCTAAGTCCTTCATCACGTGCAGGACCTCGTCTGTCCTCTGGTTGAAGAGAAGTGTCGTAACAAGTTAAGTCTTTCACTGAAGATTTCATGTCTTTCAGCAGAATCAATGACTGTGGCCAGAGTGATGAGTATCCACTCTGGGGCGGGCATGCCCCTATCAAAGGGGTATTTGTGATGAAGCCCAGGATATCATTTTTAGTTTGCTAGGGCTAAAACAAATATCTTCATGACATGACTAGAAAGTTAAGTAAGCTAAAATTGTTCAAAATCTTATGCTTAGTGAGCAAAGAAGCCCTGATAATCAGATCAACAAAACTGGAACAAGTAGTATATCTTCGCCAAGCTGCCAGACATTTTGTGGTCATGGCTGTGGAACTTAGCCTATTTATTTTTGGTCACTGCTACTGCTGAAAAGACTCAAGGAAAAGGTCATCACAGAAAGACTCGGAATTACATGATATCCACTATTCTCTGTCCTTCTGGTGCACTATTCTCTGTCTTTCTGGAGTTGAAAGGTAAACATGTACAGACATGAGAGGCCACGTGGTCTTTCTTCAAATTGTTAGCCAGCATGGTTCTGTTTCTAAAGAGAGTATTTGTGTTAATCTAGGGAATGACAAGAGCAGCACAACAGACATTTTGAGACACCAAAGGCCATGCTAATGCTGTAGTAGTACCTGTGCTGACAATCCAGTTGGCTAGAGAAGCATCTAAAGGTCCCAAGAGATCTCAGACAATCATGCAGGCTGTGTCCAAAAATCAATACCATGATAGAGAGAAGAAAAAACATGGAACATTGTCATTTGTCTTGCTACCTTTGCCTGCTGCCTATCCAGGACCAACAGGTAGAACTGGTGTCAGAAGGCCAACATGCACCTTCATAGTAGCCTCCACAATCCCAAACATCTGCCAAATTGCTTTGGGAACTAGCCTCTGTCCTAAAGTCTAGTAACAAGGATGCAGCTGGAACTAACAGCGGTTTCCAATGACATAACCACCAACCACGCACAGGAATGACAGGAAGGCATGTTTCATGAAGTACTTCTAGATCTTGTTCTCTCCATCACCTACCGTCACTCACCTCAAGAATAAAGGCATCCAGAACACTGGTCAACAGATGAAAAATGACCTCTGCATGTTTCATGCAAGGCAGAATTATCACAGAGTCAGTAGTTTAAGTACATGACAGACAGATCAGTAGAGATCTCAGATGTGAACCCTGTCATCTCACTAGAAGGCTGAAAAGGACTAAAGCGCAACAACAATCACAGGACAGGACAATCTTAATGGCAGAGGTATGCTGAGAAGCACTGAAAAGCGTACATTATTGCCCAAATAATAAAATAGACAAACTTAGTGGATCTTTAATGAACTGAACTTGCTCCAAAAAAGGAACGAAGCACTCCTAGCTTCATCACATACCATGAATGGTGAGAAAAAGTCATCTCAGTGCACCGAGGTCCTTGCCACCAGAAGCAAAACAGCAGGCGTGACAGTTGGAAACCCACTGAATGTCTGCAAGAACGTGAGCTTGCAAGGGTGATGCACACACTCTCTGTAAGTGGTTTCTGTCTGGACAGTCACTTTTTGATAATAGCTGTTTCCAAGTAGCTCCATTATTTAGACAGGCCCCAACAGATGAGCTAACTAGGAATCATTTGCACACAATACAAATCACAGTCCTTTTAAGTACTATGATTATTATCAGTAAAGAGCCACAATAAAATACTGGGGGTTTTTAGAAGTATCTGACCTTACCCAAATCAAATTCAGTGTGAGCTGTACACACAGTGTTATGTTTCAAAAAGCATTATGCAAAAGATATAGATTTAATTCCAAGCAACTTTGCAATTGCACATTTATTTCTTATTTAAAGAAAGAATGATTCTCAAGGGCTTGTTAACATTAAAACATAATGGCTTGAGATTAGAGAGCTTTTATGCAGAATTTGGTACCTCTTTTTGCTAAGCAGAAGACTCCATTTTATATATTTATGTAACTAAATAGTTCAATTTTAAATCAGACTCGTAGCTTCCATGTTGTTAAAATAGTGACTGACGTTTCCCATTTACTTGATGATACTTTTTATTCAGATTTCCCAGGCTGCATTGCTGGAAATTGTAATTCAAGTAAACATATACAAAAGTTGTGTTTTAAAATAATTATCAAGTGTCATTCAATTAAAATATAAGAAATTTTCATTTTAAACACAAACAAGTTTTGACTATGCGTTTGTATTCTGTAAATAGAAGCAAGAGCTTGTAATTAATAAGTCTTTCATTATAACTACTAAATCTCATCTTCTGAACTTCTACTTGAAGTGAAGAGGAAATCAATGTTTTCTGTTTTCTGAAGTCCCAGTATCTCAACTTCAACTGAACTACAATATCGATCTCAGAAGAATTACAAAAAAATTACAAGCCAGCAATACATTTCTGGCACTGTCGTCCACACTCTAGCTAGTCTGGAACACCACTAACCATGTCTGAGCAACATGCTAGCAATAAAAGACTTCAAACACAACAGCAAGTTCTATTTTGGATGTCTTCAGCAGAAAAGGAGAAAGATTCAGCTACTTTTCAAAAACATTGCAGAACATTTAGTTTGATTTTTCAAAGACACTAAACATCACAGTTATCATAGGTCTTATGAAACTGGAAGCTTTACTCACACATATGATGTCTGAAGAGAAGAAACACATTGCTTCTCTTTAAGATTTCAAACCTTTTTAGGATTAGGGATTAGCAATATCATATGTGGACATGCGTAGTAGAAGAGCTTAAAGCCTTGTCTTCAGCCAAACCTTCCATACATAAATCAACGAAGCTTCATTAAAAGCCCAGGAAAATCCAAGGACCTTTAGACAGCAAATAAGATCTACAGACAGAAAGATAATTTATTCCATTTTATCAGTTCCCCTCCTTCCTCCACTACTGATTTGAGCCAATAAACAGAGGGAATTCACTGGCAGGCCAAGACCTAAAGCTTGCCAGCAAAGTTCTTCACTGCAGGAGTCACCGAGGAGAGGCATTTGTCCATTACTAAAGGAGAAAAGAGGGGAAAAAGCCTGCATCATTTTACAGCCATCCTCTTTTATCATAAACGAGGGAATAACTGAAAAATACGCACCTTTTACCCAGCTCACTGTGAATCAAAAACATTTTTAAAACCTTTCATCACTAATTCTGTCTCATTATTCTGGGTGATAAATAAAATCTGTCTTAAACATTTTTTCCTAAGAAACATAATACAAACATAATATTTGTCACCTTTTGCTTTTCCAGGTGATTGTGTAAGTGCTACATGCCCCCCCCTCAAAAGGGACCTCACACATATCATTACCATTTCTGAAAATCATCCACAGACACATTCATTCCCTTGTTATCCACTGACGAATGTAATAAATCCCAATGAAATCTATTGCTGAATTAAAAAAAAACCACACCAGAAATTGAAAGAAACCACAGAAACTTATCTTACTTCTAGAAACTTAAGCCTACTGTCCTAGTTAAATAATATCAAATTCAATTCCATCATGTTCAGCTGCTACAAGTCATTGTCTCAAACACAGGGACAAGGATTGTGCCCACTCCCTTAGATGACTTCTGCATCCAGACTATTAAAGTTTCATCAGAAAACATCTCTCATCAGAAAACTCATCGGAGATTCACTTTGAACTACAGTACACTCTTCTGAATTTACTTTTCAGCCTCAATTCGTCTCAATCTCTTCATTAATAGCACTTACGAAGGCTTGAAGGCTGCTAGTATTTTCAAATAATACTTCTTTTTTAATCCACACACAAATTAAGCCTCTGATCATATTCCTAATATTTACCAAGAAAATAGAGCATTAGGCTTGAGACAGTCAATCTACAGATGGAAAACATTTAAGACAGTTTTATTTTAGGTACTACACATCAAAGTCGGAACGCTGTAATATTTACAACTAGTAACACCGTATATGTGATTGATTACCGTCAATTACTCATGCATACACAGAATTCCCTAACTTTTGTGCTCTCCATTACTTCTCAAATTAAATACATTTCAAAACAAAGTCACATTATTTGACTTTAGGACAGAAGAAAATGCAGATATCTCCTTTTTTTAAAAATCATACCTTGATCAGAAAGAAAATCCAGCATGGTCTGGAGAAGGAAAGACAGATGCCTGACACATAGAGCGGGATTGCCCATTCTTCTGGAAGCATATACTAGTTCATGAAGCAAACGCATCTGTACTGCAGCCCATCCTCTATGAGTTCCTATAAAGTAAGCAGTCATTTAATTTTTTTTTAAAGCTATAAGTCACCACAAACCAATTGGTTGTGGTTTTCTTTATATACTAAGCAATAAAAATCAGCCAATGGAACCAATAATTAAAAAACCAAATCTTGTCCTCAAAACAAAAGAAAAATTAGGATCTTTGTGTTTGCTTGAATATTTAAATGTGAAAGCAATTTTTGTTTTATATGCTTGTCTATCGACTAATAAATTCATCATTAGAATTCAGAAAATGAAGTTAACACTTCCCATGAAGTAAAAAATAAAATGATACACAAACCTTTAAAGTTTTATATTTTTTAAATTGTCTGAACAAGAAATTCACATGAGATTTCATACAGAAACTTCGTTTTTATTCAAATCAAGTACTACTTAACTCCCCTTGAAGATCAAGCAAAAGATATTTTCTCTAAATGCTTTCCTGGCCATTAAAAGTCAGTAAAAAGCAATGAAACTACAGGACATGAGGCACATTTCCTGATTTTCAGTCTTTAAAAACTAAGTTTCAGACTATAAATTATTTCATATTTGCAAAGTATCTATGGTAACAATAAATAGATCATCATAATGCAACTTTTCTTTCAAAAATGTAATATGCAGTACTTTTCATGAAACTTAAATCTGCTTTTAGTACTAAGCAAGAGCAATAATTTTTAAGTAACAGATATTCCAAGATAGGCAATACTTCATAAACTTCTAAACAGCCTTCCTTCTAATATTACCCTTCAGCATTTGGCAAACTTTTTCAGAAATACTTACTGCAACCAAACCTTGAGAGTTTATACTTTGCACACAAGTCTCATTATTTTTCATGTGTGAAATATTGTTCTTATCAAGCAGTTCTTACAGGCTACAGTGATCTTTCCATATGTCTCCGAAAAAGCCATTTTAGGGGTAAAATCTGACACAGCACTTCAGTGAAACATAAAGGTAACTTAAAAATGAAAGATAAACACCCATCATGTCACTGTTTTTTGTAATCATCAGTTCTTGCAGAACTTCTACAACCTCTTCTCCCAACACAGTCCCATCCCAGTCTTTTCCTTTTCCATCACAGGCCACAGCATATTTTTTCCAGTATGTTCTCTCTTCCTAGACTCTTTGTGTCTTTCCACCTGGTCCACTTGGCATTTGCTGCCTCCTTTCACGTATCATTTGTTTCAGTAACTGCTAAAATCACACCAGTTTAAAAACAAAAACAAAAACAAAACAAGCGTCCACACAGAAAGCAGGTTGTCTACATGCCTGTTTCACAGAATCATAGAATCGTTAAGGTTGGGAAAGACCCTTAAGATCATCGAGTCCAACCGTTAACCCAGCACTGCCAAGTCCACCACTAAACCATGTCCTTGAGCACCACATCTACCCATCTTTTAAATACCTCCAGGGATGGAGACTCAACCACTTCCCTGGGCAGCCTCTTCCAGTGCCTGACCACCCTTTCGGTGAAGAAGTTTTTCCTAATATCCAACCCAAACCTCCCCTGGCGCAGCTTGAGGCCGTTTCCTCTCGTCCTATCGCTTGTTACTGGGGAGAAGAGACCGACCCCCACCTCGCTACAACCTCCTTTCAGGGAGTTGTAGAGAGCAATAAGGTCTCCCCTCAGCCTCCTCTTCTCCAGGCTAAACAACCCCAGCTCCCTCAGCCACTCCTCATAAGACTTGTGCTCTAGACCCTTCACCAGCTTCGTTGCCCTTCTCTGGACACGCTCCAGCACCTCCATGTCCTTCTTGTAGTGAGGGGCCCAACACTGAACACAGCACTCGAGGTGCGGCCTCACCAGTGCCAGTTTCATCAATACATGCTCAGCCCACTGCTTGCTGCTCCACTCCTACAGCATTTAGTGAATGGTCCCCAAAAATGCTACTATACAAAAATAACGCACGTTTTTGGGCTATATGGAAAGGTTTACTCAAAAGGAGTTCCCAAGCAGCATATTAGCTGTCTCTTTCTTTAGAGGCAAAATGCAGCACAGTATATTAAAATAAAGAGAACTTTTAAAATTAGTACTTTATACGCAGCTTTAGATAACATCGATAAAGTTGTTCAAACATAGCTTACCTATGAAGAGCAGCAAGCAGCATATAGCTTGCAGAAAGTGAACGCAGTATTTAGCAGCTACAAGAATAGACGTGTTCTTATGGGCTATTTTTGCATTGGTTTTTAATAGACGCAATAAAATAGTAGTTCAAATGATATATAGCATCTAAAAAAAACTGTTGAAATGTCTTAACCAAATGCTAGTCTTACAGACAACATCACTCTGCTCTAATTTGTAGAAAAACGTGACATATTTGACCCTGCAGATACAATTAGATTATATGTACATATGTATCTGTGTCTATATACAAAAATATCTGAAAGAATCTTTCATTCTTTGAGTATAAGATCAAATAACAACAAATACCAAAAGAAATACAATTTCCGATACACAAGTTGGAGGCACTAATTGAAAAAATACTCAAAAATAAAATACGACCTTTTTTGTACTGAGAAGTGCATAATAAAAAAGACATTTTTGAAACAGAGTAGAAACAAAGCTTTCATAAATAAAACATAATTATTTGCTGCAGACGGAGGACTACAGCCCCACATTCAGCAGTAGCTGGCATAAATCTGAAATTATTGAAAGCAACACTAAGAAAAAGTGAAGGTACAGTTTTAAAGAACTGATCTATTTGCTGCAATTAGTTTCAGATAGGTAAATGATTTTGGTTTAATTTGAAATCTCTCAAGGAAATTAGTTATAGAAAGCCAGTTGAGTGACCTACTACGCTAATGTACACTTTCCCAGAGACGCTTACCTTTGCTGAAATCTTTAGGATCCAATGATAAGCTGTAGCCAGGGAGAGTTTCCAAAAGCAATTTGTAGCAGGCCCTCCACCCAGGTTCTGGGATGCTAGGTGCAGCGCACTGCATTGCTGCTATACGCTTGAAAAAAGCAGACTTGCGGTGAAAACCAATACGTTCATAAAGCTCGGAAAGAATGCTGTAACGTTGGATTTTTTCTTCCTCTGAAAGCTGAAATTTAAAGGGAAAAGAGAAAAGGATTGGTTTTAATCAAAATTTTAAAACATATATCTGAGTTTTAAAAAGAAAATAAAATACCAGGAGGAAAAAAAATGTCGTAGATGTATCTCCAATGCTACAGAAGGCCAGTGATTTTGCATCTAGCCAGTCACAACAGCTTCTACTGCCATGAAAACTTAATCTGGCTTCAAGTTGAACAGCTAACAAAAGCAGCAAAGAGAGTTCTTTAGCAACTTTATTTGTCAGTAGTACTAACAAGTAAATAGTCAAAAGAGTTAATAACAGCTAAACAGCTCCTCATTTTATGGAACATATTTAACATGATATTCATGTGCATAATAAGAATGCAAAAATATACCATTTCCAAAATCTATTGATTTACCAAGTTAAATGTTTTCATCCCTTTAAGATTAAATCTAATTATTAATCTTGAAATCTCAGGCTATGAAAGCAAAGAAACTATTGTCTCAATTTTTCTGTCTCTGATCTTGTAAACCACAAAATTTTCATTCTATGATATTATACATATGCAGACTGCCAACTAGTGAGGAAGAATTCAGTGAAAGATTAAGCCCTTTTAGGCTTAAAGTTGAAGCAAACTTGATGAATAACTACCAACATGTGCTTCTTTAGCTTATCAATATATTGGCACAAGTCCCAAGTAACCATTCTTTCTCCTCTGCTTTGAATGACAACCTTGCCTTGAAATCAGACAGCCAAGAAGAAACTGCTGCAGAAACTCTGGAAACTACCAACTACTTCAAGTCTACATCCCAGTAACGAGCAATACAGATTTCTGAAGGTGGACCAATGCTGACACCTGGTGCACAGTATCTGGCATGCACAACCAAAAGCAATATAAAAGATCTTAAATTACTCTAAAGCTGCTAACATGTTTTGCAAAGGCATTTAAAATGACAAACTTCATACAAAAATAGCACTAAAGAACAGAAACAGTGTTCCTGCAATTCATTCTTCAAAACTGAACGTATCAATCAGTGGATTCTGTGTTTAACTTCAGATACTTAAAGCCTTGGAAAGTCAAAAGAAGATACTAGCCACACTGGTTACCTTTTACAGAAATAATTAGGTCTTACAGATGAAGCTTTGAAACACCTTTTAGTCACTTAAATCCTAATATAATTTCAAAAAAAATAGTCTGTTTTCAAAAGTCACTTCTAATTTTGGACATAGGGATGAGAGACCTCAAAGAAGCCTACAGTTTTCAGAAGGCACGATGACCTTACCTGGTTCAAATCTTAGTACTTCAGGATATGAAAAGACACAGACAGACTAGGAAATCATTTTAGAAAGTTTCAGACAATTTTTGAAGCTGAACTTGCTATTTCCCTCAGAACTGACAACACAAGATGATGCCCAATGCAAAAATACCGCCCATCCATGCAAAAGACCAATCCCTGTAACAGAAGTTGTAAAAAGGCAATTGCACCAAGCTGAAAACTTTCATGAATCAATGCAGCTGGAAAGAACATGAGGCACAAAAAGAAAATATGGAACAATTTGAAACCAGTTTCTCAGAATCCCCAAAAGCTGTCATTCAGAAAGAACATGAGGTGTCAGATTAAGGTTACCTACTCTAGCAGAAAAAAAAGCTGCTCCTTTTTTTTTTTCTTTTTTTCATTTATGTCATTTTTAAAAAGCTAACACAATAAAAAAAATATGGCAGCAGAATTAGAAAGGGCATAAGTGCATGATGGCATACTGAAGTTAGAAAAGCTTAAAAAGGAACTATTAAAAGCTATTCCTTGAATACATGATATTGTCAGTGTTCACACACCTATGGAAACGAAATTTAGAAGATGAGAAGAGACAGGGTCATGCTACCTAGGTAGACATGAGTGCTTATTAATAATTGGAACAACTATCAGAGAGGCAACAGATTCTCAGAAAGTTCTATTTTTCTCATATCTGAGTAAGTTTTTAACATTTCTATCTAACTTGTTGCTTAGTGATTTCCCACAGGTGTTTTTTTCTGCTGTCAAATATTGGTTGTGCTGATGTTCCACCTACCTGCAAGAGAAAAACACTGTCCTACAGTTTGTTCCCCTAACCTATCACGGGATAACTCCTCCTTTGAGTTAGTCCAAATTATAAATATAACTATTATCTGCTTCCCTGCTATACACAATAAATCTTGAAGAGCTGTAAATATAATTCCAAGTCATACCCCTCTTTATGGAAAATACATTCCCCAACACTGGAAAGATGATCTCACTTGTATTTCTCATAATAATGCTTTCTAGAAACTCTTCCACCCAAGAAAACGACAAAGTAGCAGATGTGCAGTTATGAGCTCGATGAACATCATCCTTGACTGAAATCAATAAAGGTAAAGAATGGTTCACAGCTCAGCAGTGGGCCTCAGTGCCCAAATAATCAATATTGTCAAGGTGTCGGTTTGTTGGGTATTTTTAAAGCAACCATATACTGAACTTCTACAGTGGCATAATGATAATAGCAGATACAGCTGTGTCCTGGTTTCAGCTGGGATAGAGTTAATTTTCTTCCTAGTAGCTGGTATAGTGCTGTGGTTTGGATTTAGGATGAGAATAATGTGACAACACACTGATGGTTTAGTTGTTGCTAAGCAGTGCTTACACCGGTCAAGGACTTTTCAGATTCCCATGCTCTGCCAGGGGCACAAGAAGCTGGGAGGGGGCACAGCCAGGACAGCTGGCCCAGACTGGCCAAAGGGCTATTCCATACCGTATGATGTCATGCCCAGTATATAAACTGGGGGGAGTTGGTCAGGGGACAGCAATGGCTTCTCAGGGACGGGCTGGGTGTCAGTTGGCGGGTGGTGAGAAGTTGCATCACTTGTTTTTCCTGGGTTTTGTTTCTCTCTCTCTTTTTGTTTCCCTTTTCATTACAAATTATTTTCCAGTGAATTGATTGTTCTCACTGTAAAAAGTTTCTTTCTTATATTGCAATGAAACCTCTCCCGGTGCAACTTGTACCCAATTGCCCCTTGCCTTCTCCATGTGTCTCCGTGTGAAAAAAGACAGCCTCTGTCCTCTTTGTAGCCACCCTTTAGGGACCAGAATACTGTGATGGGATCCCCCTGAGCCTTCTCTTCTCCAGCAAGAAAAAGACCTAACTCCTTCAGTCTTTCCTTCCTCATCAGGCAGGTTCTCCAGCCCCTTGATCGTCTCCGTGGCCCTCCTTTGGATCCTCTCCAGTCTGTCTCTGTCTGTCTTGAACTCTGGGGACCAGAACTGGACACAGGACTCCAGGTGCAGCCTGACAAGGGCTGTGTAGAGTGGGATGACCACATCTCTGTCTCTGCTAGCAATGCCCCTGCAGATGCAGCCCAGGATCCGATTTGCCTTTGCTGCTGCAGCAGTGCACTGCTGACTCCTGTTCAGCTTGTTGTCCACCAGGACCCCCAGGTCCCTTTCAGCAAAGTTGCTCCCCAGCCATACAGAGATCCTGGCCTGTGCTGGGCTCTTTGGTTATGTCATCCCAGGTGCAGGACGTTGCACTCGTCTCTGTTAAACCTCATACAGCTCTTGCTAGCCCACTCGTCCAGCCTGTCCAGGTCTCTCTGTAAAATGGCTCTCCCTTCTGATGTGGCCACCTCTTCACTCAGTTGGGTGTCATCATCAAGCCCAACATCCAGATCATTTCTGAAGATGTTGAGCAGTGTGGGGCCCAGTATCGATCCCTGGGGGACTGTGACAGGTGCATTCCACCCCTTAACCAAACTAGCAGTAGTTTGGTACAGGCTTAAAGGAGGCAAAGGCCTGAGCCGTAGTCAGGCCAAGAACTCCTCTAGTTTCCATCTGTTCTCTGAAAACCCACAAAGAAGCAGAGTGACACAGTGAGCATTGATGCAATATGAGCTTGGAATGCCAGTCACACGATTAACACATGAATAGCGCCTGGCTTTTCCAAGACTCATTCATCAAGGAACAAAGAAAGTTGTGGGTACAAGGAGTCTCATGCATACCTTTCCCGTTGCGTGGAATTCGACTACTAGCCAACCACCTTATTCCATAAATCCGACAGCCTAAGTGAGCCTTTTTGGAGCTCTCCCTGCTAGGCAGCGTGGCTACATGGCCGTGATCTCCCCTTGAACTGGGACACCTCTCAAGGTTGCTCCTCAAGGCAGAGAGACCTTTTACCAACAGCAGATCTTTGGATAAGTCCAATTTGAGCTCTCCCTGAACTGCAGCTGGACCGCACGCCAGATGACTCTTCCCTTGAGCAGGGACGCTTCTCAAGATTTGAGATTCCTTACCTGAGACTAAGAGATCCTTCCTTGCCCAAGGCAGAGAGATCCCTTACTCGCGACAGATCCTCGGTAAGTGACTGAGAGCATGCTGAATTAATATTAATGAAACATTACTAAACCATGTAGCTACTCAATATTAATTATTATAAACTTTGTATAGATAATTCTATTAGACATAAACCGTTGTCCAAGTCTGAGACTAAGATTGGACCTAGCCGCACCTAGGCTTCGTAAGGAGTTTAGAAAGCAAGGGGGTTCACTCTGAACCTCACGACTCAACAGGAGGGTCTTCCTTACCCTTTAGCATCTCCAGTCTCTGTGTGAATCATTCTAACTCGATTCTCACTCAATTTTCCTTTGTACGTTTCTTCCATGCAGTAATTAATAAGGTGAACCTTGCCATCAAACTTACTGAACCTTGGCAAACCCCTGTTAAACTTTGCTAAATTCCATCTAATTCATTGACCTCAATAAACCATATTTCTGTTTCTCTCTTTTCAGTGAGCTGCATTCCACTCATTCGCAACAGGGACCCCGCTTGTGACAGGCTGCCAGCCCAAGTAAAATCCTTTGATCACCACCCTCTGAGTGCGGCCTGTTAGCCAATTTCCCGCCCATCTTGCTGAACACCCATCCAGTCTGTATCTTGCCAGTTTGTTCAGGAGAAGGCTGTGGGAAACAGTGTCAAACACTTTGCTGAAGGTTGCTAGACGGTATCTGCATCAACTCCCTAAATTCTGACTGAGCTACAACAAAAATACATAATGTACCTGATTTTTATTTCAAGGTTTTCCAGACAGTGGGAGATCTGGCATTTATGGACTATATTTTATAGAGCGTGACGATGCACACTGAGGCATGCTTTACACGCAAAGATTTATTTGCGGGGTCAATAGCTCATGGCATACATCAAGTTCAAAGTTCCTTTAGGGGAAAAACAAAGCAGAGAAAAAGAGACCAGCCAGCTAGGAAGAAAAGCAGTGGGGCCTCCAGAACACCCTTCCCTGGTTCTCTCCAACACAGCAGGTAAAAATGTCTTCTCATCACGGTTTTTCGTTAGATGCATTTCATCAGGACCCACTCAAACTCTTAGTTGTTTCTATTTGGGACGCTACTAGAGCTGGCTGAGGCAAGCTTTGGTCAGGGCATGTGTTGCATGCTGACTAGGTGCCAATCTTTGTGCTTGTGTATTAGGTAATACCAGCTATTTAAATGACTTATATACTTTGCCATCCACTAAGTCGTGTTTTTTTCCTCTAATATAAAGTGAAAGTTGCAACATCAGTGGTGTCAGGGAGGAGAACAGGTGATTCTCACAATGACAGTAATTGCTTCCATAACAAAAACAACATAAACAACAATATTGGAGTTTGCAGGCCACAAGAAAAACAGTGCAAGAACAACAAGGGAAAAATACTGCCACAGCAGTTTACATGAAAGACAACACAGCTGCCAGTGAAAGACAGACTACAGAATTAAACAGAAGGCCCTTAGCACTGCAAGGATTACGGCAGTTAAGGTACTCTGCAACAAAACTGATTATTTTTATGATAGCTTATCAATTAATTTCTCATTTATGTTGGTTTAGAAAATTGACTCCACAGAAAGGATTCTCCGCAAATGAAAGATTCTACCTCCCTCATAAATTTGTTGAGCTTATTAAACCCAGATTGGGACAATGGTGTGGACTTAAACTGCTAGTCTTACCAAGCTGTAACAAGTAAAAAAGGAAAACCAGAAACCTAACAGCTTTTTATGAATTCTTTCAACCACAGCAGTTTCTTGTAACCAGTGACACCAAGCCTGAGACACTGAAAAAGTGTTAATCTTGTTCTGTGGTGGTACCGAGCATTTTTCTCCCAGTTCCAAATACTGATTTTCTCCTCTGAATTCCTTTCTGATTTGGCCTAACCAAGACTTCACAATGCACAACAAAAATTCAATTGATTAACAACACTAGTCAGACTCTTAAGCTCACTTTGCAACAGGCCATTCCTGGTTTGCTCACAGTTTCATTGAATGAGATACAATCAAGAAAAAAAAAAAATCCATTGCAGATCTGTTCCAAGCAGCTATTTTTCCCTAGTACAACACCACAATATAATGAAAATGGGAGTTTTTTTCTTCACAAGGGAGAATAACTATGAGTCTCTAATCTCAAACTAAGTCCTCATGTTTTCAGATGAACTCTAAATACCTTTTTAAACCAGACTCACAGATGTGAATATCCTCAGAAGTCAAGTCCTGGTGAGAAGGCAGGCAGTGATACAGAAAAGAAACTGTATTCTCCTGAATCTGAGTAACTTTCACACTCCACTTGCACTCTCAAATGAGAAGAGAAGAATAACCGGACTTTCCGCACTAACCTGACGAAGGTTGATATAGACTGCATTCTGAAGAAACTCAGAGGCTTCCATGCTCCTTTTCTGTATTGCAAGGACTCTCACTGCCTTCACACAGGCTTCCAGTTCAATCACACCAGCATTCTTGTACTTGGAGAGAGAGAAAATTAAAATAATATTGAAGTATCGCACCTGTTAGATAAGTATTTCTGCTCAACACATAAATCAGCTGTCACATCTTCCAAACCCAGCGATTCCTTAATGCTAGTGACTATACTGTTAAATTATCAACATATGCCCAAGTGAAAATTAAGGTGTCATCTAAAAATGGTATTATGCCAAACAACGGGTTTCAGCCTCTTCACTCACTTTTCTTCTCTTGAGACACAGCACAGCTTCAGTCTGAGAGTTCAGACAAGGAGAAAAGTTGGGAATATTAGGATCATTTTGGATAACCTCATACATATGGTGGGTGTGGGTGGTGTGTCTGCAACAGAGACACTGTAATAGGTACGTAAGCAGAAAGGTCAGTTTTACAGTAATTCTTCACCACCTAAAACTGTTCTATCATGATAAACGAAGAATTAATTTTGCCTTTCTACTTATTACAAAATACTTTATATAGCAAAGGAAGCTGTAGCAACAGAACTTTAGTGCTACTGTATCAATTTTCTCCTTAGTTAAAACAGTATCACTAATGACAAGTGAATTACAAACCATTCTGAGTTTTCTAATACCCATTTACAAAACATTTTCTGTAAAGGACTGTTTCAGTTGCATTATTCAGCTTGCTTAAGAAAGGCAGGAGACAATGTAGCCGTGCATTGATCTGTTTGAGCTCGGACAACAAACAGAGGCAATTTTCTAGACAAACAATCTGATCTAGTTATTTCCTCAAGCAATACTGATAATGGGTATTTGAGTCAGCCTGTCACCTGCTGAAGTTCAACTCTGTTCAGGTATTCATCATGTTTGAAATCTAATGGGGGAAATAAAGCTTAGACCGAAATGCAAGAGTTACTCCACCAAAGCCGTTACACATTCTTCTCTTGCGCGTTTATATCAGCAAAAACAAATCACTGGAGATTGAATCCGTTTTAGAAGATGCTACAAAAGTTTAAGCTCAGTGATAACATAAAAAATATGTAGAAAGTGCTGCTTCCTCAGCATTAGAGCTAGGAGCTAGTCTATCTGTAGGTCTTAAAGAGACAAAAGCCAACTGTGCTTGTCTTGAACACTTATAGATCAGTCCAAGACAAAGCTCTTCGTTATTTTCAAATGAAGCTGCAGTGAAGCATCGTTATTACTTGCTGAGAGCATAATGTATATTATTATAATCAAAATATAATAACTGTGCCTGGTGTTTGATTTGTTAATCAAATGCAGATTACTTTTAGGGAGTCTCTTCTCCCTGTCATTAATATATGGCTGTCCAGCAATTAGCCCTCTTTAAAAGCAAGTATTTTGAAATTCAAAGGAAGCTGACAGTAACAGGAATTCTTGTTCTACTCAGATTATGAAATGCATAAGGAGGAGTTTATGTACAATTATATGGCTGATATTCAGAGGAATTTTTAAAATAGGTTCTAGTGGCAAATGGAAAGCTCTTCCAGATGTCATGAATTTCTATAGGCTGATCTTTTATCAGAAAAAAAATAATTCTAGCTTTCATAGTTCTTTTTTAATAAGCCCAACAAAGTCCAATAATTTTATACTTCTAAAGAAATCATGCTCTTCCTAGATGAGCAACTTACCCTTAAGGTAACATAAAAAGCTGAATGCATACTTGAGAATTATCCTTATATTGATGGATCCAAATTTTACCTGAAACTATCCCCGAAACTATCACATTTCATTGCTTCTGATCATAAATTAACTCATGCACACGATTTACCTTGTTTCATTTGGAAAGTCTCCCTTCCACACAGACATGGAAATGCCATATCATATTTACATAGCTTAGTCTAAACAGACTTTCAATATCAAAGGGAGCTACTTGAACTTAAAAAGTTATTAAAGCATAAATAACTACACTGTGATACAATTAAACTTATCTTTAATGCTGATGCAGATACTGAGCCGCTATTGTCAGAGTATGAAATCATTTTTTTCTCTCCATATTATGAATGCAAACCTTAAGCTACCTTACTATCTTATATTCTGAGCATTTGCACAAAAATCTAAAAAAATGCTCTAGTAGAGCTGAAAACTGTTTAATTTTTCTAAATCCTCTTTTAAGAATATTTGCCCTTTACATTTCCTCCACGACCCCCTACCTCTCTGCATGCTCTAAATACTAGCCTCCCTGAACAATCCTGTAAAATCATACTTATCATCAGCAACCTCTTCATAAACTCCTGAATCCCCCAGAGATCATTCCAGCAGGCACAGTAAATAAGCACTCAGCTTATCAATGCATAAAAGCATCACTGCAGTTGATGTATGTATTAAGGACCATAAGCATACTTAATAGCTAACAAACCTTCAAATATCTAACACTTCTGCTTAGAGTGCTTTAAAAATATAAGACAATTAATCCAAAACCGCCAGGTACTTGCAGGCACAGTAAATAGTTTACTCAGGACATTGCTGTTTTAGGTGTTGTCTTTGACCCAAGTTCTGAGATTCCCAGACTCTAAACCAAGCACTTAGTTCAGTAGTATAAGTTATTCCTATTTCTGCCATTATCATATGTTTTACAAACTTTATTGCACATGCCTTAGAAGAGCCTCTGAAACCAAAACCACAGCAGTTCATTATTCACAAGAATTTCAGTGAAGTTTCTTAAAAATAAGTAGGATTACCTTGCCGTAGTAAGAAATGGCTTCTTTATATTTGTCTATGATGTCTTCAGGGCTAAGGCAATTCTTGGCACGTCCGATCTCAGCACTGGTATCTGCATTTATACCATTTGAAGTCAGCGCACCTAGAACAGAAGAGGGTAAGAAATGAGCAGAAGGACTTTTAGCAAATACTAAATATCTAAGAAAATAACTAGGATATGCTGTAGGTTTGACTAAAGCATACACAAAGAATACTTGCCCTGCCTAAAAAGAAATCATGCCCTACCTAGAAAACACTAGTTCTGTTTTACGATGCTAATTTAAAAAGTACAAATGAAAAATTGATTCAATCATAAATGAGCAAACAAATACATTCATAATCTTTTAAACTTATCTGAGTATTTAGACTATGAATAAAATATTATATTGCTAAGATTAGATTATGGCCACATCTGAATATATTAATATATTATAATTTTAATCTTTGAATTAGTCCTTGTTCTACTTAAAAACTGTATTTCTAAAGCACACCTAAGGAAAAAAAAGTGCAATTTTTTTATGAACTAATTATTAGAACAGCAACCTTCTCCTCCAATCATTTAAAATAAATACTTCTCTTCCCTATGTCTAATCACAGAAAACCAAGTGTTACACTGTAACAACGGCCACCAAATCTGAGCCTTCCGTATTAAAAAAAAATTACTTGAGGCTCAGACAAAACAGTAAGGAATTACTTTTCTTATATAAGCAAGAAGGTGAGAGACAGAAAGAGTCTTTACATACACATAAGGGATAAGAATCTGAAATAGAAGGCAAGGAAATCTGGAGTATTACAAAGAATATGAAAATTTTATTTCTAGAATGTAATTTTATTGCAGAGTTAAAATAATAAAATTGAAAACATACATCAAAAGTTTGGCAAGGCTCTATACCTTTTTAAGTGTTACTTAATCTGTTGGATTACATGCCTAAATTTATACAGTAATGCATTTCCCCAAGAGCTTTCTCTACTAAGATGGCAAAGAAATCTTTGTGTTTCAGAGCTCGACCTAACTCTCAATAGACAGTTTAAAAACTACTGTGAAAGATACTTTCTAGTCCCTCTATATATTCAGAAGTATGTTATTTTACATGTTCAAATGCTACAGCAGCTTTTTTATATGTTTGTCAACCTTAACGAATCATACCAGGCACACTGTAGATTAACACCGTAGGGTTTTTATGGAAGTGCATAATCTTTGTTAGTGATGACTGACAGAATACCGTGACACTACAGGACTACACGTGACCATTCAGGTTTGTTGGTTAAAACAAAAAAATTTAAAAATCTCACTACTCAGGTGAAGAAACAATCTTGATTAGAATTTACAGGGACACAATCATGGAACTACATCATTTATTTTGTGCCAGTTACCCTTCAGTCTCTTTGCTTCCTCAAGATTTATAGCCAAAAACTGAAGCTTCAGGAACAAGTACGAGTTTTGGCAAGTGGCAGTAATTACAAATGCAAAACAAATGCAAGTAATAAAAAGAAAAGACTTTGGAAACATGCATGAAAATAATGTACCTGGATCAATGAGAACTTCTTGTGCCCCTAAAAGGAGGAACAAAAATGATTTTTTTTTCAGCCTCAAATATAGCCAACAAAATAAGCTCTTACAATGTTTTATAACTAACATCAGGCTTGAACAATATTATAAGATTTATTAGGATCATCATTGCTATTTTGAAGGAATACCAATTATAATTCAAGTAGTCACCGTATGTTAAGTCTCATTTTGTTAAAAAACAAATGTAAAAATCCTGTAAACTTGCAACAAATTGTAAGACACATCAAGAAGAATTGAAGAATTTTCAGTGTATCATTTAAAGCCATATCCTTTTTCTCCTTTTTCTTTATTCTTGTTTTAGTTGGCAAGTTTCCGTCACAATCCGCTTTTACTGTATTTTAATATCAGGTCCTACAGTGCTTAAATCTCCTTGCAGGAGATTTACACAATACTCTAGAATAACATTTTCAAGTAATTGTACCCCTTTCGATTGCCATTAATTTCACTCCATCAAATTTTCTGAATAACTGAGTCACGCCAACCCAACGAGCCAGACTATTCACATAAAATAGTTGCCAAGAGCATTGCAAAGTTGGATTATCAGATATATAACACCTTGTTGCCCTAAACTTTGATTAAACGTGGCAATAAAATTGTTAAGATCAAGGGTTAAGCAGTCAAAACCAATTGCTTTATAAGAAGAAAGGACCTCCCTTCAGTTGATTTGCTCAGACTCCAGGCTAGTGAAGCAGAGATTTAGAGCAAGATCAGAAAGATACCCCAACACTCCACTCAGGTGTCCTAATTCTGCTTGGGGAAAGAGAAAGGTCAGGCGACAAAATTAAGAGCTTGGCACTTCAAACAAAGAAAACACAATAGAGAAACCCAAAGCAGCTAGTAAGCTAAACATAAAGCAATCTAAACTCAGCTTATTCAACGTACAAATCACGTAGCCAACAGACCATGGCCAGGTTCCTGGCCAACAGGAACTAAGCAACTCAAAATCTTCTTTTAGGAGGCTGCAGAGATGAATCCAGCCATTCAAGGGGACGCAGCCTAAAGCTCTCCCCCGACAAACAAAAGGTTTCAGGAATGCGAGAAGTCACATTTCTTTAAAACGTCAAAAGTTCCCTTTTCACAAGAGAGACAATATTAATGCTTTTCCTTCCAAAGTTGTTTCTATATAAAGCAGACACCACAGTTTTTGAGCAGCCAGGTCCTGTGCTATAGCCTCAAAATGCCAAATGGTGAAAACCACAGGAGAGTCAAGAGAAAGATGTTTCTCTTGACTGGGTCTGGACACGAAGGCAGCACCAAGAAACCCCGTCCTGTCAAGGCTGAAGTACAGGCACAAGAAGAGGTGCAATTCCAGGCACATCAGGAAGCAATAAAGGTAACTCTCACATCTGTAAGCCTCAAAGGTAGGCACGAATTGAATGCCAGTTCCAAGTATGGCGTTTCTTGATTTGCGCAGAATTTGGAAACCCTTTTTGTTTCTGGCCTTGTCCTACAGAAAGATACACTGGAATTTGTTCCCCAGATTAAATACTATCCTCACAAAATTAATTGTAACAAAGTAGATTATAAACAAAGGTGCAGTTTGGAAAGATTTTAAATGAAAGGCACTGCAGAGTCAAAAAAAAAGGCATTGAAAAGAAACTTTCAGAAAACCTTGTAGGAAAAAGACATTACAACAATAGCTGTTTGGCTAGACAGAGTTCAGCAGTTCAGATCTCAAAACATTAAGAGATCATAACTAGAGTTAGGGAACAATATCCAATAGACCATGAAGTAACATTTTCATCTGGAAGGGATGACAAAAACCCTGCAATCAGTTTTTCTTCACACAAAAGTCCTTTGAAAATTCTCGTCACATGAAACTAAAACATTTTTAAAATATGACCACACTAACAAGTTTGCAAACAGGACTTGGAACTGGAAGACAACTTATATAGAGAAGCAGCAATAATATACCCAAAATATATTTTAGTCAATTATTCTGATAGCTGTGACTTATTTGTTACCTTCTTTAGCAACCCATTACAAACAGATTGCACCACCTACCGTTGAAAAGTGGACAAAGGTTAATAACTGTGTGAAATTATACCATAACAGTCAACATAAAATGCACTCACAGGTCATGGGACCAAGTGCACAGATTTTAATGACTAGAGATTATACAAAAAATTAGTATTCTCTCACGAAATAAGGTAATTTTACTATGAAAATTATCTGGTGTCAACATACACAGTTTGTAATAAAGTTATTACAAAGCAAGTGTTTACTAGATTGTGACTTCTAGATGAATAAAGATGGGCAGTTGGTTTTTTTAGATTACGGAATTAATTTTGATCACACCGCACGCAAGAGCACTTAAACCCAGCTCCTGTTTGTTTCAGTACTGTGTTAGAACCTACGTATATACATAGAAATAGCTGTGCTGGGTTAGACCACAGGCCTGTCTAGCTTCTAATAATCAATACATTTTTCTTTCACTACCCTAGCCAGCCTCTCCTGGAAGCCTCAGAAACTTTCAGGAGCCTTAATACTGTGTAGCTGCTGTTAGGTTACGTGATTAAAGGCTCCTCTCCACAAACACAAAGGAGCACAGAGGAACAGTGCCAGTCAGCTGAAGCCCGATAACCTGATCAGAGCCAACACAGCTGTCTGGGGCTGAAACCCATCGAGATGAGTTAACGTGAGCCACTCTCTGGATCACCTTACAGACAGACTGGCGGGGGGGGAAAGCCTCCAGGGATATGGGACACATTATAGGATGTAGGATCTTACGGAATGTGTAGGGGACGAACTAAAGGCAAGGAAAAGGAGGGATCAAGGCAGTTTAGGGAGGAATAAGCATGGAAAAATAGAGGGATAACGGGAGTGCATCTGTGTGTGTAGGTCTAAGTACCAACAACTGGAATGTGGCTCTGGATCCAAGAGGCTTGCAGTTCCAGGTGCCAGTAACTGGCCAGACCTGGCAATCCAGCAGCCGGCTACTGGGTAGACTGAGAGACTAAAACCAGCTACTGGATGGATCCAGTATGGATGTAACAGGCTTTCATCCTCATCAGCCAGAGAAGGCAGCAGGATCAGGCTGTTAGTGCTGTCTGTGTTTATAAGTGCTGGTTTTGTCTGTGTTGGTCTGTGCGGTGAGCTGTGTGCATATATAGTGTGTGTGTGTGTGCGCGCGCCTCTTGGGAACGCACACCCAGCCTCACGACTGCCTGGACCTGGTGACACGAGTTGCGGCAGCTTCCTCTCTATCGCACTACCAGATCCAGTAACTCCTAACAAAGAGTCCCACATCATACCTATAAAGTCAGATAAAGGATAATTCCTTTCATTTGCTTTTCCATCTGCTAGCTGTATTTGATGTCCTCTAGTTCTTCTATCGGAAGAAGCACTGAACCTCTGATCCTTAACCATCCTCTTCCACGACGTTCACAATATTATAGAGCTCTCTCATATTTCTCCTCAGCCATCTCTTTTGCAGAACTTTAGAGTTCTAGGCTATTCAGTTATACTTTGTACAGAAACCACACCAAGACCATCTTTGTCACCAATCTGCAACCTCCTTCCAGTAGAAAAATGGGAGATAGGGAACATGAACACCCTTTTGAGCTTGGAAACCGAAATGGCATGCAATATTCCAGATGCAGACAAACCATAGACTTAATGATATTTTCTACTTTTTTCTCTCTGTTACTCTCCTAATAATTCCTAAAATAGTTTAAGCAGGCCATTTCTCAAAGATTGTCTATCATACCAGTATTAATACAATCATCATATTAGTTATGTAATCTGAGAGTTTAGAAAATGTATACTAAATCTTAGAAATTATGTTGGTTTATTGGTATTTAGTTAACCAAATCTATTTATTAAATGTTGACTTTAGAATAGCAAAACATCTCTAATAAACACACCTAACTTATTCTTCTTAATATGTACAGCTCTGCCACATCGTAGGTACTTTATGAAAACTGCCTGCATCTCCAGCAAAATTCAAACTAACACAGACACTATTAACAATCAGATTAAGAGATCGAAAGCTTTGCAACTCTATGCAAAGCACACATCAACATTAATACCAAAGAACAGAAAAGTCATTCATGTAAAAAATCTTTAAAATCTTAAAAAGAAATACAGCTCTCCCACCCACCCCTCCAGTTTATCCTGTCACCGGTATAATTTTACAGTTAGGAAGCAGGGAGGAAGTTTTCAGATGTTCCGTGGCGGCAAATAGAATAAAAACGAAATCCCGTCCTTACCTGGTCTGTGCCTGTTGCCCGCCTCAGCAGAAAAAGACCCTCCTTGTGCCCTGCGAGATCCAACTTTACCTCCAGTACCACCGGGATAATGATAGATGACTGATGCTGAGCATAGCCCCTCAAGAGCAGCTGTAAAGAGAAAAGCCAACAGATAAGTAGAGATACTTGCAAGAAGTGAAGTCTCATGTAATAAAGTCTATTTACACAAAGTATGTCTCAAATTGGACACCTAGCAACAAAAGTCATGGAAAAGCCTGAGATACTCAATGGCCTTTTTATCTGTTTTCACCGATAAGGTTTACCCTCAGACCTCCCAGGTCCCCCAGACTACTAGCAGAGTCTGGAGGAGTACGCACTAGCCACAGCAGAGGAAGACGGATGTACAAAGCACTTAATCCAATTGGATGCAAATCCACAAAAGCAGGTAAGGTGCATCCACGGATGCCAAGAAAGCTGACCAATGTGAGACCACTCTCTTATTACCTCCAACAGATCATGCCGACGGGGGGAGGTTTTTAATGACTGGACAAAGAGAAACATCATACCCTTCTTCAAGAAGGAAGTACCAGGGGTCTACAAGCAGATCAACATCAGCTCCCTGGAAAGGCTATAAAGAAGTCCTTCTATAAGCCATTTCCAAGCACATGAAGGACAAGAAGGTGACTGGGAACAGCACAGATTGATTTACTGAGGATAAATCAGTCCTTGGCAACCTCACTGCCTCCTATGACGAGACGATTAGCTCTGTGGACAAAGGACCAGCAGCGGATGTTTTATATTTTGACTTTCACAAGACCTTTAGACATGGTCTCTCATAGCTTGCTTATAGCCACACTGATGAGATAAGATTTGGACAGCTGGCCTATCAAGTAGGTGGGAAATAGGCTGGGCAGCCAGGCTCAAAGGATTGTGATCCTTGCGGGGCCAGGACTAATGGCAGCAGATTTAAACGTGGTGTAACTGCCACCAACAGTCACTCACAGAGGCAATCAACTCCGGTGCAGGTGCGTTCCATAGTAGAGCCAGGGATCGTGATGTCCAGGTGGGTTTCCTGAACCAGGAAAAACCCAAAGGAGCATAGGGACCCGTCAGCTCTCACAAGAATGGCTGACAAGGTGTGGACAGGAGCAACAGTGGCCACCCCCCACTCCCACAAGAGGCAGCCCCAGGGAGCCTGAGCGACCAGGAGCCCTGCAAACAGGTGGAAGACTTCAAGTACACATAACCCAACCACCAGGCACCATTCTGTGACCATCGGCACAGGTCAAGGGCATTCATCCTACCTGACCCTCAAGGCAGAATGGTGGGCACTCGTCTGAGAGCAAAGGCTGCAGCTCCAGCTGGGGGGGTTGCGTCACCTACCCCAGCAGTGGCCAATGCCCCCACCCAGGTGGAGCTGCTGAAGGGAGAGGCTGCAGTGCAGACCTCAGACTGCAGGAAGCACCTAGACCTTACTCCTGGGGCAGGGACAGGCAGCAGAGCTGCCTGCAAAAGGTGTGCCCAGGTGGAGGACCTCCTACAGCAGGTAGCTGAGCCATAGGAGGTGGTGAGAAGACTGCGTAACATCAGGGAGGCTGAGAAGGAGTTAGATAGCTGGTTCCAAGCACCGTCTGCAGTGGGCCCACAGCCAAACAGCCAAAAACTCCCCCACTGGCACACACAGAAGGGAGGGGGGCCAATAATGCAGAAGAATGGATGGCTGCAACAGCAAGAACCAGCAGGAGGAAGAGACTTCCCCTGAAGCCTGAGGTGCCCTTGCAGAACCGCTTCACCACTCTGCAGACTAAAGAGGAAAAACCCACCACACCAGGAGAGACGCTGGAGCTGAGTAAGGCAGCCCAATCTGCTCCCTGTACGACAACCAGCACAACTAACAAAAGGCGACGGATGGTAGTAGTAGGCGACTCTCTTCTGAGAGGTACGGAGGCAGCCATTTGCTGACCTGATGCACTCTCGAGAGGTGTGCTGCTCACCAAGGGCTCATATCAGGGATGTCACAGAGAGACTACCAAGCCTCATACAGTCCACTGACGATTATCCGCTGCTGCTGTTTCATGCGGGCACCAGTGATACAGCCAAGAGCGGTCTGAGGAGCATCAAGAAGGATTACAGAGCCCTGGGAGCAGCAGTAAGGGACTCTGGAGTACAGGCAGCTTTCTCATCAATCCTCCCGGTCAAAGGGAAGGGTTTAAAAGGGCCAGTCGAATCAACAAATGGTTACAGAACTGGTGCCACAGCCAGAGGTTCAGCTGCTTAGGCCATGGGAGTCACTTTGAGAAACCTGGTCTGGTGAGGGCTGATGGGGTCCATCTGTCAGAGCAGCTGAAGAGCATCTTCGGTCACAGGCTTGCCAAGCTGGTGAAGAGGGCTATAAGCTAAAGTTGCCAGGGGAGGAGAACCTCAATCTATCCCCCTCCTACCAGTTCAATGCCAGTGCCAGCAATAGATGCCCAGAGCCTGGAGAAGGATCACAGGTCAGCAGGAGACCACATGAAGAGCAGCACAAAGGAATTCCAGCCACTCCAGCCAGTGAGTCAGCTTCATCGGGGGCCCAGCTTAAATGCCTCTACGCAAATGCACGTAGTAGCACGGGGAATAAACTCTTGTTTAGAGTTAGAGATGGGAAGGAGGCCTTTAGGAAAGACAGGCAGGGGAGATGAGGAGGGAGTGTCACCCTCTATGTCAATGACCAGCTGGAGGGCAGGGCACTCCGCCTGGGGATGAATGAGGAGCCAACTGAGAGCTTATGGGTCAGGATTAAAGGCAGGGCAAGGACAGGGGGCCTTAT